ATCACTTCTTATTTTAAAGACTGTCATTAAAATGGAAATGACATTGTTACTGATCTTATCTGTCCTAATTAATCGCTTAACAAAAAGAAAGTTACACCTATCTTCCCAACCATTTTTCCATCCAATATGTTGTTTTAGAATTTCCCTCTCAGTTGAATACATAGTTATCAAAATAATATTGACTTATTAATCAATATAATAAAGACAAATAAAATAATATTAATTAACAAATATATGCACTAGATAAAAGTGAATTTAACAACTTATCTGATATTAGTTTGATAATCCAAAGAGAAAAATTCAGCGTAACTTTGTTTACTTTATACTTCAAAAATTGACTCGCCGAAACAGTTGTTTGGAGAATATTCGTTAATAAATAGTTTGGGACGTAATGCATAAAGGTTACGTCATCGCAAAAAAACGTCAACACAAATGTACGCCTAAAACTAACATGATTAGTTGTAAAACATGACATTTTTGAAAACATATTTCATAACATAGCTGAAGGCAAGTAAAATAATTTTTTTATTTTCATTTGCATAGAAGATTGAAATTTCATTAACTTACGTCATCCATCAAAAAAGTGACGTTTTGCTTTTAAAAACGATTAATTAAAAAATATAAATGCTTTAAAAACAGTCTTTTTGTAAAAAAATCTCTAGGATGACACAGGAATCTGATAGAATGGGCATTTAGGGTTAAGTGTTCCAAATTTCAACTATCAAGCACTGAGCTATGATATGAAATCTTAGTTGGCCCAACTCATGTTTTCCGGAAAATATGCGAAAATTAGAAAAGTGGTTCTAAATTATTGGAAATATTTTGGCAATATTTATTTTTATACCAATTAATGTAAACATTTATTTAACAAGGAAAGATAGATCTTTTATATTTTTTTAATTGCAAGATGAAAGCATTTATATAAAAAAGTTACTATTAATTTAAAGTTTGTGAATTTTTATACTTTTTATGCGGAAAAACTTTTTTTTTTGATAAACTCATGACGTCACGCTCGTTTTTATATTGAGTGAAACAGCCGTGATATATATATATATATATATATATATATATATATATATATATATATATATATATATATATATATATATATATGTATATATATATATATATATATATATATATATATATATATATATATGTATATATATATATATATATATATATATATATATATATATATATATATATATATATATATATATATATATATATATATATATATATATATATATATACACATATGTATATTTTTTATGACTAGGCAACTCATTCTATTATCTCCTATTGAAGGTACAGCTCTAAAACTCAATTTATGGTTCTGAGGCTGGCTGGTAGTCAGGTTTCCTGAACTCTGTGGTAGCTCTCAGAGAGGCTGATTCCATCAACAGCTGAAAAATATCAAATTCTTAACAGTGCCATGTTGCGCATGGATGGTGTCCCTGTTTGTACTTTTGGTGTGAATTGCCAAGGTTACATTGGAGCCTTTGTTACGGCTTAGGGTTTGTTAATGGTAATGAGGCAATCGCTTGGGCTAATAAACAGTGTACTGAGTACTATCTATGTTTTGAATCGAGTTCTTTAACAAATTTGAAAATGAATAAAGTAACAAAAACTATAAAACACAAAAAACCATTGTCATCACAAAGTTTGCTAAACCTATCGTTCACTAAAATTCGTGGTCCTCAAATTAACTTTTATTCTGTTGAGTCTTATCTCTTGCAAAGTTCACCAGACCTACTTGCTTTTTGTGAGACTAATTTGATTTCAACTGTCTCATTTTGTGATCTTAGTGTTGATGGTTATCTTCCTTTAATTCGTAAAGACTCCAATAGTCGCATGCTTGGCCTGGGCATTTACATTCGTAAGAACTCACCCATTTGTTGAGAAACTAGGTTTGAATCCACAGACTACTCTTTTATGTGCTTTTGTTTAGCACCACTTCACTCATCTTTCTCTTTGTTCTATATCGCTCTCCTTCATCTCAAGATTGCATTCTTTTTGATGTTATTTCTGATCATATTAACCAAGCCCTCTCTCTTTATCTATCAGCCAATATTGTTGTTGGTGGTGACTTTAATGTTCATCACACAGAATGGCTTGGCTCTAGTGTCAGTAAATCTGCAGGCATTAAAGCCATCAACTTTTGCCTTTCTCAATTCCTAACTCAAATAGTCAACTTTCCAACTCACTTTCCAGACAACCCGAATCATTTACCTTCACTACTCGACTTATGTCTTGATTCTGATCCTAGTCAGTGCTCAGTTTTGACTGTTAATGTTTAAATTTGAATAGTGTTTAATTTATACTTTGGCAAAAACAATCCAAAAAGAATTTATTTTATGCAAATTATACTTTTAAGTACCACTGTTGCTGAATATAGAAAGATTGTTTCTAATTTTTTTAATTTTCGAAAATTTTATTTATGCAAAACATACTTTTACTTTGAGCTTGAAAAGGATCTCACTTCTGCTACAGCATGGGACTCACAGTGGCTGGTGAACTTTAATTTAGATAAAACTCAATTTTTTTCAGCCAATCATTATTGCAATAATTTAGATCTTCCTATATTTATGAATGGTAATGTACTTGATGAGTCATCTACCTTTCATCTTCTAGGATTAACTCTTACTTTGAATCTTTCTTGAAAACCATATATTAAATCCGTTGCAAAATTAACATCTGCTAAAGTTGCATCTCTTTATCGAGCTTGACACTTTCTTACTCTCGATTCTATTCTCTATCTCTTGTATGGAATACTGTTACCATATCTGGGGTGGATCGTCTAATGATGCCCTTTCTCTTTTAGACAAGGTGCAAAAATGCATTGTAAACTTAGTTGGGCCTGCTTTTGCAGCCAACCTTCAATCATTATCACATTGTCGTAATGTTGCTTCTCATTCTCTTTTCTTCAAATACTATAATGGGCATTGCTCTAAAGAGCTAGTATCTCTTGTGCCATCTACTAAAATTTATTCTCATGTTACTCGTCATTCAATCAAGTCTCATCCTTTTTCTGTTACTGTTCCTAAGTGCTCCAAAAACTCTTATTCATCTAGTTTTTATCCTCAAACATCAGTTCTTTGGAACTTGCTTCCTTCATCTTGCTTTCTTGATTCATATAATTTGCAATCTTTTAAGTCGTCTGTCAATTGTTATCTTTCTCTACAATCTTCATCTTTTCTCTTCCAGTAACTTCCAACACTAATTAGTGGATGCTTGCAGCCTTGTTGGATGCGAAAATGTATATATATATATATATATATATATATATATATATATATATATATATATATATATATAAATATACAGGGTGGGCACAGCTCCTCGAAAATCCTCTAAAGTCCTCTTTTTTTAACAACTTCCTCTATTATCCTCTGAAAAGTTAAAAAATGTGATAAAATCTCCTCTTTAACTCCTCTTTTTAATTTTTTCATTTCTTGATGGTAGTATAATGTTCAGAATTTATGGTCTGCAAAACTGGTTAATGTCTGAAATGAGGATTTGATTGTAAAAAATTAATTTTAACAAATCCAAGTCATTTAACATAAAAAAATGATATTGTTCACTCCTTTCCTTACTTCAATTATGTGGAAACACAGGCATTAAACCTTTTGCGAAAAAAATCCTCTGAATTAAATGCCAAATCTCTACTAACATCCTCTAATATTCTCTTTTTTTTATAAAAATTCTATGTGGCCACCCTGATATATGTACATATATCCGGGTGGTATATATATATATATATATATATATATATATATATATATATATATATATATATATATATATATATATATATATATATATATATATATATATATATATATATATATATATATATATATATATATATATATATCTTTATAGTGTAGTCGAAAGAGCGTTTTAATGTAAAAAAAGTCTCTTTCGACTACAATTTTAATTATCTCGTCTCTTAAGCTGTATTTGATTGTCGTCGAAATGTCAAAGCAATTAAATTAATGCGGAAGTACATTAAATTTTATTGTTTTTTCAAAATTTTTTAAAAAACCGCAATTATAACGACTAGAAAGTTTTTTTTTATTAGTGGTGTTTTTGTTTTTGTTTTATTAAAAAACATTTTTAAAACATGCGTAAATGTTGCTACACCGACTATCTTATAGCCTGACTCGCAACGGAGTGCTGCTACATTGACTGACAAATAGCCTGACTCGCAACGGAGTGCTGCTACATCGACTGACAAATAGCCTGACTCGCAACGGAGTGCTGCTACATCGACTGACAAATAGCCTGACTCGCAAATATATATATATATATATATATATATATATATATATATACACACACACACACACACAAGATGGTGCTAAAAACAATTTTTTTTGAAAATGTATGCTGACACCCCTAATTTTGTTCTATGTAATAAAATAATACTAGATTAATAAAATTTTTTAATAAAATATATTTAATATTTTAAGGGCGCTTAAACATCAAACAGGACCTTAATATTATCAAAAAAAAAGTTTTTTAATAGTATCCTAATATTATTTAGTATTAATACTAATTAAAATAATTATAATTAAAAAAATCTTAATTTTAAGTTAAAAAATGTCATTTCCTTTTTACTAAAATTTTAGTGCATCGGAAAAAGTATTTTAATATAATTTGAGTATTTTATAAAAATATTGAATAATAGCCAATATTTTTACAAAAGAATCAAAAGTTTCAATCATAAAATATCCTGCATTCTCATGGCAATTTAAATGAATTTTTTTCTAAAACACCATCAACAAAACAATCTCTTACATAACAGATATTTTTATGGTGTGATACTGAGATCCAATAAGGAGGATTGCCATAGTGCACATAGTTCTTTTCAAAAAAAAATTTTTTTTCTAGGACATCCAGACATTTTAGATAAAAAATGTTTAAATTTGTTCTTAATTATTCAAATTTACAATATATTAATACAACTTTCTTGATTTTTCATATACATATAGTTAAAAAGTATGATTCATCGCACATTAGAAAAGTATGTGTCATTATTTGAAGAAAATTCTGAGCATTTGTTACCACTGTTTAAAATGGAGTTAATACTTGATGATAGAATACAATTTTATCCTGAAATCAATGAATTAGAAGAAGCTATTACAAAGTGTGCTTCATCTATAATGACATCACTACAAACAATCCCAACAGTTCAGGTATGGTTATTTTAACCTTTAGCAACGTAGGTTCTTTTACAGTTTTATTTACACATTTACATTATTTTTAGTCATGGCTAAATGGCAGTTCTGCTTGTGTTGATGCTAAAATTAATTCAGAGGTTTCAAACAGAATGTATAGAATTTTAAAAGAAAGAACATCTATTTACTTGCAACCTGTTTTGGACTATGAAAAAGAATTAGGTAATAAAGATTTAAAGGTATAGAATGAATTTATTTAAAATTGATATTTTGAGAGATTTATTGCTGAGTTTAAAAGGTTATCAGTGTTGTATAACTTGTTATCATTAGAAGAGCAATTTGAAGATATTGTCAATGGGTATACTAAAAAATGCTTGGATGAGTTTTTGGAAAAGGAACATTCTTTTGAAGAATATGTCAAAGTAGGAAATTATATATTTTATAAAAATTATTTTTTAAAATTTTGATAAATATCACTCTATAATTTTTTAACTTCTTTAATATACCATTATTTGCCGTGGTGTAGGAAGGTAACATGACTTATATGCTCTAGAACTGGTCTCACTGTATTTCTGTATTAGATCCACAATTAATTTTCTTATGTGATATATGTTTCAGTGCAAAATTAATACATAAAATGTTAATTTTATGAATTAATTTTGCAATTGTTTTAATTTTATTTATTATTCACATATGTGTATATCTATTTAAATAAGTTACTTATAACTAAGTCACTTATTTGTGTTAAAAGAGGCTTTAACATTTGCTACCTAATGTAAAATAACTTGAAGTGAAGGTCTTTTGTTGAAAATAAATAATTGCTGAAAGTTATAATTTAAATGAATCTTTATTTCTTATTTATGATAAATATTTCTAGCTGTAGTTAAGCTTTAGTTATATCAAAAATTTAGTGAAATAAATGCACAGCTTTTCAGATGTTTTATCTAAAACTTTATTTCTAAACAAATATTTTATTTGCATTTAATATCTTTGTTTTAATTTTGTAATTTAAGAATTAAAATATTGTTTGCTGTAAAAACCAAAACAAGATTGTAAGCAGACCAGTATTGTAAATAATATTGTTATGTTGTAAAATCCTAGATAAATTCTGAGCAGATTGATATTGTAAACAATGGCTAAAAAGTCCCAATTTTGACCATTAAATTTCCTTTTTATCATACTTGTGCTTAAAAGAACATGTGTTGCACGCTAAATTGTTATTATTAGTTTTATTTAGGTATCTTCTACCAGTCACATAGGAGTAGCACATGAGTATTCTCTACTAACACTTTTTTCAACTTTTTCTTCTGTATTTTGTCTTATATGCTTATAATAATTATATTTTGTGGTAGTTTTAAGGTGTTCCAAAAAGATCTGATATCAAGAATAATGACAAAAAGCATTTTATTAAAAAATTTTATCGTTAACTTCTTTACTGTTGTTGTGTATTTTGTGCCAATAATTCTTCTCTTTTTCTATACCATATAATCTTTTTTCTTTTATATTAGGAAATAGCAAAATATAAAACAGTTATGCAACAAATATCATCCATTCACACTGTCACTTACTTTCAAATCATTCAATTAGATTGTGATGATATGAAACGAGGCTTGGTCTTCAAAGTAAACTCGTTTGTAGAAACGCTGTTAATAAAGCTGCTTGATGATCATCGAGCAGACAATATGAAGTAAATTAAAATTTTAATTTGTGATACAAAAGCTGCATTATTATTTTTTTTTTTTTATTATCATTTCTTATTAATTTTTTTTGTGCTTTTAGTACTGCTTTATTTTTATTTTATTTATTTATTTTTTTTCAGAATTTCAACAAAATTTGAATCTATTCAAAATAACATTCTAAAATACCCTGAATGTTCAAAGGATGTTATTGATTTACAGAAGTTTTTAGAAGTCTGTCAAGTTGAAACATTAGAGATACTAAAAACTGAAATACGAGTGGGTAATTTTGTGATATATTTGAGCCTTACTAAGTTAAATAATAAATTAAATTAAATTTTATCTTTAGGATAACTATCCCCGCTTAAATTATCTTCTTGAGAGTTATACTTTGAACACTGAGGATCTTAGTTTAAATAGCTCTGTACTGCTTTGGCCTACAAAAATTCTTCCTGTTTTTAGTCAAGGGGACCAGGTTATATAATTTTTATTGATAATTTAATTTGTGTTTTATTAAATGTATCATTTAAACCTGTTGAATGACCCATTAAAATGGCTACTAAAATGACCATTAAAAATGAATGTTGTTTTTTGTTGCACCTTTAAAAATGAAATTATTTAAAAAAAAGTATATTATAGACATTTTTAAAACTATTTTAGAAAATATTATGCTCTTTTTAGATTGTAGAGAATGCTCGAAAAGAAAGTGAAAGAGCCTTAAAAGAAAAGAGAGAAAAAATTATTCTAGAACTAGATAAGATAAAAAGGTAATTAAAAAAAAATTGCTTTATTGTTGGTAATTGAATAAATTAAAAAAACATGTTTTCATGATATTACAAGCAGTTTCATGATATTACAAGCTAAGACTCTAGGAATGACTTTTAAGTTGTTTAAAGATATACTTTTTAGTAAAAAAATGATGAGTGGATTTTTTTTCTTAATAGAAAGGTTGAAGAGTTTGTTGAGTTTGGGGATATGGAGCTTATGTTGCAGTATATGAAAGATGCACAAACTCTGCAAAAAAAATTATCTGAAATGGTTGATATAATTAATTCCGTAAATACTGTAAGTTAACTTTTCTTATAAATTTTGGTTTTACATGATTATTTTAACAATAGTTATGTAATTGGATACTATGGATGGATCATAAAAATTATTTTCATTTCACTTTTTTTTAAGAATAAAAACTTTTTTATTTTATTTATTTAAAACATATATTAAAAAGTATATCAAAATGATACAAATTTAACTTCCATTCACAGGAGGAATCTTTATTTAATATGGAGGAGTCAACATACCCAGAAGTAACATTTATTAGTACATCAGTTGAAACTTATTTAAAACTTTTTTCAACAGCTGTTAAATGGCAGCGGAGTGAGAAAAAATGGATGGATGGTGCATTTAATGAGCTTGATGCTGAATTAATTGAATCAGAGGTTTTTTTAAAGAAATATTTGATAAACTTTACACTCTGAGGATTTCAGATATAAATTATAATAATGAATAATTGTGATTTTTTTACTGTTTAAGTTCTTTCTTTTTTAGATTAAGACATAAGTACTAATGCAGAAATAAATAGTCTATGCAGCAATGTATAATTAATTCAATGTTGACAAAAAAAAAATTTTCTTCAGGTTAATGATTTTGGAAAAGAGGCATATAAGTTAGTTAAGACTTTTAATGCGTTAGCAGCTAGAGATAAAGATCTTGGTAAAGAATCTGCTTTAAATAAGCAAGAGTCTGAAGGTTTTGTTCCATTACAAGTTGCCTGTAGGATACAGTCTTTAATACAAGATTTCAAGGTAATATTTAAAGTGAAAAAATATATATTTATATAATTTGTATGATTATTTATCACACTTTTTTTTCTGTAATTGATAGGATAACATTCCCATCATCAGCATTCTTTGTAAAAATGGTTTACGTCAGCGTCATTGGGATGCAATGTCGGAAGTTGTGGGTGAAGATATTACTCCAGATTCTAGTTCAAGTTTACGCAGAATGTTAAAATTTAATTTAGTGTCATGCATGGGACAGCTAGAAGTTATAAGTGGAGCAGCAAGTAAGGTTAGGCTTTAAAATGGTTTTCAGTAACAGAATTTAAAAAAAATTAAATTAAATACTTCTAAAAAATAAAATAAAAAATGAACCAAATTTAGGAATTTTCTTTGGAAAAAGCTATGAAACGTATGCAAGATGACTGGGATTCTGTATTATTTACCACTACAGTATACAGAGACACAGGTGTATCCATCCTTTCTGCAGTTGATGAAATGCAAGCTGTTCTTGATGATCAAATTGTAAAAACTCAAACTATGAGAGGGTCTCCTTTTATTAAACCATTTGAAAAAGAAATTAAGGTTTGTAGGGGTATTTTTAGGGTTTATCATTATGGGGTTTAACATTATTTTAGGGTTTAACATTATTAGGGTTTAACATTATATATAACTTTAACTTGTGTGAATTAAAACAAAAAATAACATTTTTTATAGCAATGGGAGAGTCAGCTTTTGCACATGCAGGATACTTTAGATGAGTGGCTAAAGGTACTGATATTAAAATCATGTAATATATATATATATATATATATATATATATATATATATATATATATATATATATATATATATATATATATATATATATATATATATATATATTTATATATATATATATATATATATATATTTATATATATATATATATATATAAATATATATATATATATATATATATATATATATATATATATATATATATATATATATATATATATATATATATATATATATATATATATATTCACACACACAGAATGACTAATAAAAAACGAAAAAAAATCTTATAAAGTACGCTAAAATATAATTCCAATGTTTCAGGTACAATCGTCGTGGTTATATTTGGAGCCCATTTTTAGCTCAGATGATATCATGCAACAAATGCCAGAAGAAGGAAAAAAGTTTCTTATTGTTGATGCAGGCTGGAAAGATATTATGAATTATTGCATTAAAGATCCAAGAGTAAAAATAGACAAACTACTCTTATATTAATAATTTTAATTTCTATAAAGATTTAAATGTTATTTTGATTCAACACACAGAATTTCAAATATATTTTGACAATGAAAAATAATTATATAACAGTATGAAAAAAAGTGTTAATATTAAAAAAATTAGTAAGGTGAGGAAAGCAGTTATTAAAAAAACTCTAAGTTCTTTATTTCAAATGGTATTTTAATTAGGTACTTAATGCAACATCAATGCCAAATCTTTATGAACACCTTCGAAATAGCAACGAACTACTGGAACAAATCAACAAAGGATTAAATGCTTATTTGGAAAAAAAGCGTCTTTTTTTTCCAAGGTTATTTTTAATCTCATAAGTTTAAATGTACATAACATTATATAACATGTGTAATAAAATAGTTTATTTTTCAAATAAGGTACTCTATTTTCTTATAAAAAGGATAACATTAAATGGCAAAGAAATTGATTTTAACCTTGATCCCAATAACTTTCTGACAATATTGTTTTGATCTTCTCAATTTAATGCTTATTTGTTTAGGCTGGTGGTTTATAAATATGGAGATTTTTGACAAAGTCTGGGATGCTGGTCTTTTTCATATGTTCTCATGGTATGATGTATCAGGAGAGGATTTTGAAATTGTTAAATTTTTCCACTCTTTTTATTTATCTCAACAATCAAAATTTTTCAAACTTTGATTATTGAGATGCTGCAATCTTATTGATCTGCTTGAGAATTTGATCTCTTTTTTGTCATTGCTCTCTTTTTAATTGATCTGTTTGTTAATTTGATCTCTTTTTTGTCTCTCTATTTAATTGCTTACATTGTAATCTTCAACTGGCTTAAACATTGACATCTTTAACATGGGATTTTTGAAGTGCTGCAAGTGGATCAATTGCTGATTGATGACAGCAGGCTATAAGATAGTCATTGTATGTACTGAAGCCCCCGACAGCAGGGTATTTCAATGTAACATCAGATATCATTTTTAACATAATTATTTAGTTTTTCTATGTAACATTAATTTAAAATAATTAAAAAATGTTGACTCTAAAAATTTTTGTGTTTGAAGGTATTGAGGCAGTCTATTGCTATCCAAATGCTTAATCTTACATTATGTAAGTAAATCTACAGTGCAACATCATTTTTTTACTGAAACTGCCATGCTATTTAAAAAAGTAATAGACAAATGTCTGTTTTTTTAACTGTGTTTTTTTAACTGTTTCTAACTTTATCTACATTGTGCATCACAGCTTGCTGAAAACATCTTTTCTTTGAATATTACACAGTATGTTTGCCAATGTGTGTAAATAAGTTTGAATTTACATCTGCACAGTTTTTATTCTTTTAAAAGAAAATTTTCTCATATTATGAGTTTTGTATTGTGATTTTATATCTATTTTTTTAAATATATTTTACTGATTGAGAAACAGACTATTGTTGTATTACAGTTAGTAGGAAAGTTACCTTTCATGATTTTAAAACTCTTTATTAACAAATTACTTTTTTATGTTGGGGTTATTGTTCTCCAATTTGACTGTTGCTTTCAATTCTTTATGATTTGTTTTAATAAACGTCTATGAAATCTCAACTAGCTATGTCATACTAATGCTTTTGGGTATTGTAATTTTTTAAGAATTTAAAGTGTTTCAGTATTTTTTGACATATGCTAAACAAAAGTTTATTTTTTTTAGAAAGTGTTCTGTTAATATTATTTTTTATTTGTTAAGGTGTACCATACTGTCATTTTTCTTTTAATTGTATGCTGACAACATTTTGTATGAACATATTTTTTGGTTTTTCATATTTCTTTTCTTTTTCTAGATTTTTTTTCTTATCTAATGATGAAATGTTAGAAATTTTATCAGAAACTAAAGATCCATATCGTGTTCAGCCTCATATGAAAAAATGTTTTGAAGGAATAGCAAAACTGAAATTCACTCAGAACCTTGACATTTCTCATCTTTATAGCAGTGAAGGAGAGCAGGTTAAATGTATTTGAATTAAAAAATGTTAAGTATATTAGATCCATTTCTTTTTATACTATTTTGTTTTTAGATAGCCTTAATTGAAACAATATCCACCACTTTAGCAAAAGGTGCTGTTGAAAAATGGCTGCTCCAGGTTAAATAATTATGAATTCTTTTTTTTTTTTAATTTGATCAACTTACTTTTAACAAAGCTTTGAACAACTACTAGTGTAGCTTAGAGATACCAGATGACATTTATAAAACAAAATAAAGGTTAACAGAAAAAAAACCTGCTAATTATTCAAATCAGAAAAATAATATGAAGGGAATTAATCCTAATAAAGTTTCACTAAAAATAACTGCACAATTAAGAAATATTTTGGGCAGTTATAAACAGGTGGCGGGTATAAAACAACTTCATTTGAAATTTTAATTATTTAAATGTCAATAAAATTGTTCTAATTGTCTGTATGTTCTACATGTCCAAACTTCAATCTTCTCTGATGTGTCAGGTAAACTTGCTATTCTCAATCTCTGTGAAAGGTTATAGAGTTTTGTATTTTTAAGATTCTAAAATTGCTTCCATCTGACTACTGTCAGATGGAAGTACTGTCTTCCTTGTTCTTCTTAGAAAATGAATAACATCTGACTACTGTCTTCCTTGTTCTTCTTAGAAAATGAATAACATCTGACTACTGTCTTCCTTGTTCTTCTTAGAAAATGAATAACATCTGACTACTGTCTTCCTTGTTCTTCTTAGAAAATGAATAACATCTGACTACTGTCTTCCTTGTTCTTCTTAGAAAATGAATAACATCAACCCTTATTGCCAAGTTTTACTATCATGCATCATAACATTCTGGATGCATATGGTGTATAACTTTTTTCTAATATTTATTTTTGCACCTCTTATTCATAGGGCTACCAACTCGGATCTAGGTCACAGTGAAAATTATATTGCCAAGTTTATTATTAAGTGTCTTGTTTCCATCATGTACCCATAAACATACCTACATAATTTAAGGTTGTTCTCCATTAGTTGCCTCTAAATTTCCTAAATTATGCTAAACTTATCCATGTACTCTCATTGCTGGAGGCCTCCAAACATTGTTTCAACGCTTTATCCACTCCATAATGTAAAAGTCTAGCTGTTATTGTATAAAGGAACCTTTGCTTTGAATACTTTACTCCACTCATCTTCACTTGTTAGTAATTTTTAAACAAAATCTCTTGTCTCAATATGTGGTGACAACACTTTTCCTTTCAGTAACCTTTCTTATTTGACTCACCAATGAAATGCAATATATCAAAGCACAAACACACATATCTGATTGATTGAACAACAGTTACTCTTCATCACAGCTTCACATTTCTTTTTTCTTATATCAGATATTTTACATTCATCTAGTCCTTTGTAAACTTTGGCTTTTCTAAAATGATAGTTTTCATCTTTTAAACCTTATTTGACTTTTGTATGGTTTGTATGGGATCTTAATAATGTCTTTCTACCCATTTCAACTAATTCAGAATCAGGTTTGTATACCTTAGCTCATCTCTTTTTTGTCATACCGATTCTGCCATATATTTGTATCTTATTTGTATCTTTTTTTTTTTTGTTTACAAATTTTATCATAACTTTTATTCAAAAAAATACTTTGTGCAACTGCATTCATTTCTTTAGTTAAGCTACTGTATTCATTTGTTTAAGCTCAGAATGAACTTAAACAATGAAGCTCAGAATGAGCTACTACTTCATTTGCTTGCTCTGATTTATTAGGAGAGGATTTTGAAATTGTTCAATTTTTCCACTCTTTTTATTTATCTCAATAATCAAAATTTTTAAAACTTTGATTGTTGAGATGCTACAATCTTATTGGTTTGTTTGAGAATTTGTCTGCCTGCTCCATAAATAACAGTAATTTGTTGATAAACATACTTTTATAAATTGCCGGCAATGCCAGTTTTATACGTTTAAAAAACATAAGAAATTTGTTTGACTTACCTCATATCACTTGATTTGAAATAACAAAAGACAACTTTTACTGAAGACAAAAGTTACCAAAATTGTGATTGATATCTGGATAAATCAAATAATATGTAAAACATAAATATTATCAGCATAATAAATATTTTAAATTTATTTAGTCATAAATACAAGTCATTAAACAATCAGTGTTGAGCTGGTAACTCAAGTAAGAAAGTTGATGTACATTTTTATTTTGACAATTTATTTTATTAGGTTCAAGACATCATGCTTCTAAGCATTAGAGACATTATTGGAAAATCTGTTGCAGTAGGTTTTTTTTTTGATTACATTCAGTAGATTTTTTTTTGATTACATGTTTACCATTATTTATTTGTAAAAAAAAAACTTAATTTCAGGCATATAGCATAACTCCAAGAGCAGAATGGGTCAAGGAATGGCCTGGTCAAGTTCGTTTTTTTATTTAAAATCTTGAAATCTGAATTTCAAATCTTTGAAAATAAAGTTTTTATTTATTGAAAAACATTTTTTAAAAATATTTTCAAATTTATCTTTTAGGTTGTCATTTGCGTTAGTCAAATTTATTGGACTTTAAAAGTACATGAAGCCATTCGTACAGGAGGCAATTCCTTAGCAGACTACTTTACAAAGCTTTCTGAACAAGTAAGAAATAATGGTTGAGGATTTACTCAATATTTGTGATAGGACAATACAAAAACATAATTTTATATTACTTGGTTTGTTTGGGCATTATGTCAATTTGATTGTTTTGATATCCAACATAAAATTTTTTTTTAATTTTAATTTTTTTAATTTTTTTATTTTTTTAATTAAGAATTATCAATTAATAGTAAAAAATAAATATTTGAATTTGAGAGTAGTAAAAGTATTTCTTATTATAAAGTAGTAAAAATTTTCCTTTGTTATTTATATTGTAGTTAGAAAAAATAGTTGAACTTGTGCGTGGAAACCTATCAAAACAAAATCGCATAACTTTAGGAGCTCTTGTTGTGATAGATGTTCATGCTCGTGATGTAGTCCAAGATATGATAAATCAGGGTATTAACAATAATTTTTTTTTGCATTTCTTTTTTCCTTATTATTCCAAAGTTAAAGTAAATATTAGACCAAAGAGTTCAATAAAAAGTATTCATTGAAGTGTAAAAGTTGTAAAAGGTGCTCAATTAATTAAATGAAATGTAAAATAAAATATTAAACTAAATGTGAACAAGATGTTTTCAATCAGCAGTGTTTAGTTGTGAGTTTTTTTACTAAAGAAAAAGTTATGTCTATTATATAAAAGTATATAAAAGTATATAAATATATTTATATATATATATTTTATATATATATATATATTTTATTTTATGTATATTATATATATATATATTATATATATATATATATATATATATATATATATATATATATATATATATATATATATATATATTTTATTTTATATATATTATATATATATATTTTTTATATATATATATATTTTATTTTATATATATTATATATATATATATATATATATTATATATATATATATATATATATATATATATATATATATATATATATATATATATATATATATATATATATATATATATATATATATATATATATATATATATATATATATATATATATATATATATATATATATATATACATTATATATTTATTTTACATATATAGCTTTTTTTGTTTTTAAAATAATTGAAATCAAAAATTTTGAATGAATAAATAACTTTAATTGAGAGCTTAATATGTTAATCATAATTTGTTTCTATTAGAATTCTTTACATCAGTAGTTTTCAAGTTATAGTTTGTATAAAGGTTGCCAAGTTCAATTATAGTTTATTTAAGGAGTGTACACCTAGTGTATGTACCCAATAGTATGCTGTTGGTACCAGGTGAGTCAATGGCAAGAAACAAACTATTTGTCAGTGGCAAGTATGTTAAAGCAACCTTTGTTAGGTTGGTCCTAACAAAACCTGATCAACCTTTAATGTTTCTGAGAATATGTTAGTGTGACAAATAGTGTGAGATTGAAGGTCAGTCAATATGGCTTCTATGCATTGATTAAAATGAAAGGTTGCTGAAATGACAGGTAAAAGGTATTAGGCTGTTCCAAGAAGACCTATTACAGAGCACCACTAAAAAACATTTAACTAGGAAGTTCATGCCTCCTTCCTTACCAATTTTGCTAATACAATACTTAATAATAAATTAATGTTTAATTAATTAATTAACGTTTTGCACTATGACCACAGTTACCAACCTCATAAGGACTGCAGTTATTACCCTTTATTTAACAACATTATTGATGATTTTTAAAGTATATTCTTTTTCTAACGTAAATACAGTTACAGTAAAAATGATGTTTTTTGGAACAGCAATCAGGTTTTGAAGATTTCATATAACTAAAAGGATTTTACACAAAATAAGTCAGAAGTTATATTTGTTTTTTTGCAAAAAATTATTTTTAACTCATCAATTAAATGTGTGATTGTTTAAAACGACACTTGTTAGAGTAATTAGTTGCCGTTATATAAGATCTTGATTTACATTTTTTTATTTCTATATTAATGAGCCTGATTTTTGCAATAATAATTAACTATTTACATACAAAAGATTGTTTATCACTTCAAAGTGTTTTTCTGTATAGACTAAAATTTTCTGTTTGTTATAAATTTTAATGTAAATCATATTCTTTTGGTTTATTTTTAAGTTTGTACTTCTTTAATACAATTAAAATTGCAGGAGTTCAATCTGAAAATGATTTTAATTGGCTTTCACAATTGCGTTACTACTGGGAAGAATCTAATTGCTTAGTGCGCAATACAAATGCTACAGTTAGATATGCTTATGAGTACTTAGGAAACTCTGCTAGGTACATTTCTATCAAAATTTATTTATGGTGTGAAATTTATAAAAAGTATTTTTAATAAAATTTACATCAAAACTAGAAAAACAAAAATAACAAAAATGTTTTGTTAGAAATAAATAGAACAGTAAATATTATGATATTTATTTTATTTATATTGATAATCTATATTTAAAAATGGGATATAAAATTTTTAAACTAATTAAGAATTTTTTTGTATTTTTTTCTGTTTTTTTTTTTTTTCTTTATTAAAAAAAAACTGGATTAAATAAATTTAAAAATTTAGTACAATGAATATAAACAATCATTACAGGTTGGTTATTACACCTTTGACTGATCGCTGTTATCGCACTTTAATAGGGGCTTTTCATTTGAATTTAAATGGAGCTCCTGAAGGGCCAGCAGGAACTGGAAAAACAGAAACTACAAAGGTTTTAAATCTTTATTTAACTTATAATTTTTTTTCATTAAAAATAGTTATAAATCTCAATAAAAATATTTTTCCAGGATTTATCAAAAGCACTAGCTATTCAGTGTGTTGTGTTTAATTGTTCTGATGGTCTTGATTATTTACAAATGGGGAAGGTAAACACTATTTAAAAAATTTTTATTTATATTTTGTTTATTACAGTAGTTATATTGAAAATTAAGTTACAGTTTTAAAAAGTAATTTTTTGTGTAGTTTTTTAAAGGTTTGGCATCTTGTGGGGCATGGGCATGCTTTGATGAATTTAATCGCATTGAACTTGAGGTTTTATCTGTCATTGCTCAGCAGGTGAAAAACTTTTTATGTAGGAATTTCCAGTTGTATTTATTTTTTTTTAATTTTTTAAATTTTTATTTAAAATGATTTAGTCAGCTATATTTCAATAAATTTTAAAATTTATTAGATTCTGTGTATTCAACGTGCAGTGGCAGCCAAAGTATCTGATTTTACCTTTGAAGGAACAAAGTTAAAACTTAACTCAAATTGTTATGTTTGTATCACTATGAATCCTGGTTATGCTGGGAGATCAGAGCTACCTGATAACCTTAAGGTACAGCGTCATAAAATTTATGTATACATAGCTTATGTATAACGTTTTTTTTCTTATTACTCTATTTTTATGATTATTTTAAGGCTTCATTATTCTTATTAGTTGTTATATAATTAATAGTATAAGTTGTTCCATATTGTCAGGAAATTAAGTAAAAGATAAATAATTATGTTTTTCTAAACTTAATATTAAGTATTCTACTAATGTAAAATATATAAATTATACCTGACTCCAATAAATAAATTTATCACAGAAGTTTACAAAATTTTAAAATCAATTTAATAATTTTTAACACTAATCACTTTTAATGATTGAATTTCGAGTAATTTTTCTATAAAAATAAAAAAAAACTTCCTACAAACTTTAAACTGAACACAAAGTGAGTAAAAAAGAATAAAGTTCAATAAATAAAGATGTCAAATTTTATGTCAAAGAATAAAGTTTTGTTAGACTCAAAAAAAGTGGTTAGCTTTCAGATTAGCTACATTGGGAATAATAAATAAGTTATATTAGGCTTTAAATAAATCATGAAAGGTTTTAGATATGTTAGATTTTAATTAACTTAACTTGTTAGTTTTGTTCCACATCATTTACATTGTAAGATTGCATATTTTGGAAATTGAGTGGGTTTGTCTGTAATAAAAAAATAAAAACCATACTCAAATAAAATAAAATGAAAAAATAGTTTAGAGTTTATTTGACTAATTCATTATTTATAAACTGCTTAAAAGGAAATTTTATCTTGAAATTAAAATTTTCTGTAAAATAAGATAAGTGTAATGAAATAAGTTCAAGAAAATAATTTTTTTTCCAAATAACTTTACTTTAGGTACTCTTTCGAACGGTTGCCATGATGGTTCCTGATTATGCATTAATTGGAGAAATCATGCTGTATTCATATGGCTTTGTAAATGCTAGAAAATTGGCTGTAAAGATTGTTACTACTTACAAATTATGTTCTGAACAAGCAAGTTTTTAAAATTATTGTGTTAAAAAAATAAATTTTAGTTGTGTTTATAGAGTTTGTTTTGTGCTTGGTGCATTTAAGGCTCTAATATTGAAGTTTAGAGTTTGTTTTGTGCTTGGTGCATTTAAGGCTCTAATATTGAAGTTTAGAGTTTGTTTTATGCTTGGTGCATTTAAGACTCTAATATTGAAGTTTAGAGTTTGTTTTGTGCTTGGTGCATTTAAGGCTCTAATATTGAAGTTTAGGTGTTATTGAAGTACTATAATTTTATTTTTTAACCTCATCACAGCCAGAAGCTGGTACAGATTAGACTTTTTTTTTTTTAATGTACTAACTTTTTAAGATGTTTGATTTTGCCAAAAATATATATATATAGTTTTTTTTTTGTGCACTGATTTTTGTGTTTTTTAAGGCATATTGTACATCTTTTAGAAAAACTAATCCAGAATTAAAACTAAATTGTATACGTAATCTAGCTCTTGAATTATATGTATAACAAAAACTAATTTTTTAATTTTAAAACAAACTCTGGGTTAATTTTTCTAAAAGATGCACTATATGTCAATTTATTTACATATATATATTTTTAAATTACATGTATATTTTTAGCTTTCCACTCAATTTCATTATGACTATGGTATGAGAGCTGTAAAAGCAGTATTGTCCGCAGCTGGCAATCTTAAATTAAAATTTCCTAATGAAGATGAAGATATTTTATTATTAAGATCAATTCTTGATGTAAATAAACCAAAGTTTTTGTCCCATGACATCCCCCTATTTGAAGGAATAATTTCTGACTTGTTTCCTGGAGTCACTCTACCTCAAGCAGATTATAACTCTTTTCTAGAGGCAGTTGATAAGGTAAATCAAATTAGCTGTATGAATTTGCAGGTTGAATATTATTGTATTGTCTCATTTTAATAAATTTATGGAAGTTTTTTAGATATTATCTTTGTTTTGTTTTTTTGAACAAAGTTCAAATTATTAAAAGAATTTCCTTTGCTTTAAAAGAAATTTTTTTAATAGTTTGTTTCAAAGGAAATTACTTTACAATTTATTGGCTCTGGATCAAAGAATCCAGGTTTTTAATTGGGAGAAGTGGTGTTTTAAACTTAAGATCCCAGGTTTAAGGAAATTTTTTGTAGATTATGAATAACTTGCATACTTAGCTTGCTTTGCAAGTGAGAAGTTTTGGGTTTGATCCCTGTCACATTCCTGATAGTACTAGGTACCTCTGCCTTGGGTAGGTCAATAACAATTAACAATAAAAAAAAAGACTTAAGTTAAATTAATGATTAGCTTTTGTTTAACTTAAAAACAAAAAGTCGTATTATTTCTTACTTAATAATCTACAAAAGTAATCAAAAGTTAGTTTTTTTTTAAATATATCTTCTAAAGTTATGTTTTTGTATATAAACTTAAAACAAAGTTTTTGTTGAATATATGCACACAACTTTTATCTCTCTTTAGTAAGTTATAGTTGTTTTAATTTATATTTTTATTTGAAAATACTGTAAATGTACTAATTAACAAGAGTGAAATATTGAACATGTTGTATTATAACCAAACCATCAAAATATTTTCCCAGTTTTTCAAGAAATGAATAAACTTATACATTAATAAATATAAATAATATTAAAAATAATACTATTTATATTTAATAACATGTAAATAATAAAATATGTTATCTTGAATTTTGAATACATAGAGAATATTTTCAGTCTGAAATTTTTTCTTTTCAACAAAATTTGTGTCAGTTATGTTAAAAATGTTTAGAAAATTTGTGTCAGTTATGTTAAAAGTGTTTAGAAAAAAAAAACAGTTTAGAAAAAATTTATATTTTTTGTTACTAGGTGAGTACTAAAAGAAATATACAAGCTACAAATTTTTTTAAAGAAAAAGTTATTCAAACTTACGAAATGATGATTGTGAGACATGGGTAATTAATATTTTGTTAAACTAAGTTACTGAATTAGAATAAATAGTAAGAAATAATAGTAACACATTGTAACACCTAATTTTTCTAAAATAGTTTTTTTTTCTTTTTTTTTTTTTTTTAATAAAAAGTTTTTTTTTTTATCTTATACCAATTTTATTATTAAAATGAGCTTATAAACTTTAGTTTCATGTTGGTGGGTGAGCCGTTTTCAAGTAAAACAAGCATTCTATATGTGCTGGCTGACGCTTTAACCCTTCTTTGTGAAAATGGTTTTCCAGAAAATAAAGTATGTATACAATTGAATTATTTTAAATATTTTCCATCAGGTGAATTAGGAAAGGATTTTAGGTTTAATTTGAATCTTTTTGAAAATAAATTTCACTTATTTCAAAAATAAATAAGTGAATAGAAAGAAAAAAAATGTTTTTTTTTTTTTTATTATGTCAAAGATTTTTATTTTTAATAATTTGATGAAAATATGCAATAACTTTAAACTTATGCAAGATGTTAGAATAATAAGTTTTTTGTCAACACAAACAAATTAGTGCATATTATTAATCTTTATTTATAAACATGCCAATCTGTTTACAATTACTGTTTGACCAACTAAAAGAATGTCTGATTTATAAAAGTCTTTAAAATGACTAAAAAAGGAAAAAAATATGTTTATTAAAGAAAACTTTAGATTTTAAATCTAAAATATATATTTTGAAATACATATTGAGTTTTTACTTTACTAATATAAATTTTATTCAACATATCTTGGACTTTAAAACAAAAAGATCTAGAGTTGTTGTTGGATTCTTCGATGAATGGCATGGTGCTTTTTCTGATGGCTTTGTACCAAATTTGTAATTGAATTTCAAATCAAATCTCATTACAAAAATAGGATTCTATTTGAGTTTTGAGTCTTCGTTAGATACAAGATTCGATTTGAAGTATTTAAATTTAAGGATGATTAGCTTATATGTATACAAAATGTTTACTAGTTTGTGAAAAACATTAAGACTTTGAACAATATTTTAAAAGAATTTATTTATTAATTTAAGGTATCTTATCGTACTATTAATCCAAAGTCAATAACAATGGGACAGTTATTTGGTCAGATTGACAGAGTTTCTCATGAGGTTTATCTTTTTGTTACTTCTTACAAAATTTTAAGACAATATTTTTAATTGAATTTTTTGGATTTTTTGAATACCATGAAATTTGGATTTCTTTGTTTTAAATATGTGTTTTTTAATTATGCTAACTTTATTAATTTATACAAGAAACATATATGTTGATCTTTGTTCACAGTGGACTGATGGTGTGTGTGCAAACACATTTCGAGAGTATGCTACAGACCAATCAGATACTAGAAAATGGGTCATATTTGATGGACCAATTGATGCTCTTTGGATTGAAAATATGAATACTGTTTTAGATGATAATAAAAAGGTAAAAAAATTATTGCAGGCAGTTATAAAATAATTTAGTAGAATCACTGCGTTGGTACAAAAATATTTATTATTTTGATCTCAGTGGAGTCAATTATGTGTAAAAAATTTACCTGAAAATTATATATTAAGTTTAGCAGTATTCAGTTTGACCTAGGATTTTATCTAATATTTTCAATTGAGTCAATTTTCTTGTTGAACCTTAAACTTGTATTGAAGTAAATTAGTTTTTTTTGTTAAGTCAATTTACTTTAAAGCTTAATTAATTGTTAAATTTCAGCTTTGTTTGATGAGTGGAGAGATAATTCAACTTACAGAAGTTATGAGTTTAATATTTGAAACTAATGATTTATCGCAAGCATCTGTAAGAAGTGTTTTATTTTTTTTTAAACTATTTTTAGTTTTTTTTTGTTTGAGTTTGATCTTTTGTGTTTCAGCCCGCAACTGTAAGTCGCTGTGGTATGGTATATTTTGAGCCATCATCATTAGGATGGAAACCTTTGCTTGAATCATGGATTAACACTATTCCTAACATATTGCGAGTTGATCAAGATAAATACATTAAAGCATTATTCTCTTGGGCTGTACCACCCTTATTGTATTTTTTAAGGAAAAATTGTAAGGTAAATTGTTAGGTTTTTATATAATAATGTCTTTTATGACCAGTAGAATTTTAGTATTAAATTACTTTAGAGGTATATTATTGAGTTATTACTATGGAGACATACTGTTGAGTAAATATTATTGAGACACAAAATTAAGTAATTTTTTATGGAGATAAATTATTGAGTATGTATTATGGAGGTATATTATTAAGTAATTATTATGAAGGTATATTATTGAATAAATATTATACCGACAATTTTTTTAGTAAATTTTATATGTCAGAGTAATTAAATAATAAATTATAAATTTTTAAGGAGTTTGTTAAGACATCAGACAGCAACCTTGTTCACTCATTAATGGTGTTTGTTGAAGTCACAATGAAAGGTGTTAATGAATCTGATGCAAACTTCATTAAATCATGGCTCTGTGTATATGTTTTTTGATACTTTTTTAACTATTCATATTTAAATTTCATAATTAGGGCATAAATAAAGTTGTACTATATCATTTTCTTTTTCTTGTTTTTTTTTTAAAGTCTGCATTCTTGTTTGGGGTTGTTTGGTCCATTGGTGCTACTTGTGATACAGTAGGAAGGATAAAGTTTGATACTTTTTTAAAAGATTTAATAAATGGAAAAAATGAACAGCATCCTATTCCAACAGATATTGGACGAATTGAGAAGCCTTTTCCATCAGAATATTCAGTTTATGATTACATGTTTGAAGTAAGTTCACATCTTTTTATTTTCTTAAAATGTTTAATATTATGCTTTGAGTTAAATTTTCTTAAAGTAATCATTAAATTTGAATCTAGAGAAAAGGACATGGAAACTGGGTACTGTGGACAAAAACAATAGCAAATTCAGAATTGAGTGGTAAAAAAATATCAGATATAATAGTTCCTACAATGGATACTGCTCGTTGTTCTTATTTTATGGAACTTCTTTTGCGAAACCAGAAGCCTGTTTTGTTTGTTGGTCCAACAGGAACAGGAAAAAGTGTATATGTTAAAGATAAGATTATGAATCATTTACCTCAGGATGAATACTTAGCTTTGTTTTTAAACTTTTCTGCCCAGACTACTGCTGATCAAACTCAGGTTAGTGTTGTATCAATATAACCTTGATGAAAATTTTGTTGAAAAAATATTTGGATGATGTAAACTAAGTGCTAGGAAAGATTTTGGAGCTTAATCCAAAGTATTTGAGCTTTAGTTCTTTAGTAGCTGTCATAAAAAAATGATTAACAAATGTGTGAATAATATGTGCTGCTTGGCTTTGTTATTTATTTCTGTTACACCTTCTAGCTATATATTTGGATCCAGCTTACTTTTGATGATTTAGGATTTAATAATGTCAAAGTTAGACAAAAGAAGAAAAGGTGTATTTGGTCCGCCTATAGGAAAAAAGTTTGCAAAATTTTTTTTCTTTTTCTTTCATTTGTAACTATGTACATTTTTTTATATATTTTTTTAATGATTTTAAAATCTTATTCTGTTGGTTTTCTAAAATTAATTTTTTTTAGACTTATATTATTTGTTGACGATGTAAACATGCCAACTAAAGAAAAATATGGTGCCCAGCCACCAATTGAATTGCTACGGCAATTTTTAGATCACGGTGTTTGGTGAGAACATTTTCTTTTTAATTTATTATACAGTGTCTTTGCTTGGGTGAGTTTAGAAATTGAGGTTTTTTTTTTTTTTTACAGGTATGATAAGAAAGATGCCTCTCGCATAACTTTAACTGATGTTCAACTTATTACAGCAATGGGGCCACCTGGAGATGGTAAAAACTCTGTTACATCACGATTTTTAAGACATTTTAACATAATCAGCATTGCAAAGTTCAGTGATGAGACAATGACAAAAATATTTGGTAATCTTGTGAACCACTATTTCAAGGTAATGTTTTAAGTTTTTAGTTTTAAAATTATCAACACAAAATATTCCACTTAAGGGTTATTTATTTAATATATATATATATATATATATATATATATATATATATATAATATATATATATATATATATATATATATATATATATATATATATATATATATATATCATAAACAACATCATTTGAAGTTTTTCTATAAAAAAAACATAAAAGGTTGTAACAACAATTTCTAGTAAGTAAATAAGAGTAACCTCCTGGTCTGTGGTATATACAGTAGAAGAAAAAATAATAAATACATGACCTAAACATTTAGAAAAATATGTTTTATTCACAGCAATAGATGATAATTAAAATTAATGTTTTTGTTTTTATAAAGTTTAGTGTTAATACTAATATCTTCAAAAAATTATTTGGTTACCTTAAGTTTTTCTTATTTAACCAATAACTTAATTTCAAGTAGCTAGAAATTTAAAGGAAGAAAAAATAAGTACATAAACTTGATTTTATATTTAAAAACAAAATTATAAAAATTCAATGTTCATGTAACAAAAATTTAATAAAAATAATAAAACAATGCCAGAAACAAACTTTTATGTTTATCTTTCATTTAATAAAATATCTACAACATTTTGTAGCTTGTTTTTTTTTTTTATTTAATTAGTATTTTGGGCATGCTGTTGATCAATTTATGGCATGTTGATAGCAAAACAGCGTACCATAATGCTTTTACAGCCTCCCACAAATCATTTTTTTCTGAAGCTTTTGTTTTGCTACCTTATCTTTTACAACTTTCTATAAATTATATTGTATTCCATAATTATATTCCATAAACTCTATTGAATTAAAATCTGGCAATTGTGCTGGCCAATCCCTGGTTTCACATTGCGGCCATCTCTGTGCAATAGAAGCTGTATATTTTAGATCATCATGTTGAAATATCCAAAGCAATGGTATTTTATACTAAGCATAAGGAAGTATTATTAAAGTATATTCGAACCAATATCAGCTGTCATAGTATCTGTTATTAAGTAAACAGAACCAATACTAGATAATAAGAACATTATAATGCTTCCACCACTAAATTTTATTATTTTTGAATGTGTTGTGAAACTCTTAATTTGGTTGGAGACAAACTGCTTGCAATCTGATCCAAAAATATTAAATTTAGATTTGTTTGTCCACAAAACTGTGTCTCATCTCCTATTTGTCTATGCAATATATTTATGATCAAACTCATTTTGGGTTTTAAGATGTTGTTTTTTGAATAAAGGCACAATTCTAGGTAATCTTGAAAAAAAAAATTCTTGAGCCAAACATCCTCTAATTGTACATGAGGTTACTTCTTAAATTTTTTTTAATGGTGTTACTGGAGATGGATCAATAATGATAAAAAATAAATTTTGTGCAAATTCTTGCTATTCACTCGCTATCATAATTTTTATACGAATTATTTCTCATCTGTAAAGTTTGCTTAAAATGGTTAATGATACAATCGGTTTTTATGTATCTGCCTGAAGAACTTTCGTTAAGAAAGCTATATAAGTTTAAGGTTTTGGTATTGCTAGGTATGAAACAGGTTCTTATATATTCGATTTTTCCATTTACAGGGAACTTAGAATATTTTGAAGTTGATGAGTTGTGTTTGCGCCTAAACTTGTTTAAAAATTGTTTAATACAAATTATATTTTTTGTTATATATTTCTTAGGTTAACAACTTTCCTTCTGACTCATATGTCATTGGTTCTCAAATGGTTGCAGCAACACTGCAAGTAATGCTTTTTAGTTGTTTTTACAGTCACAAAAATTTTATTCAAACATTGTAATTTTTTTATTACTTTATTTTTAATAATTTAGATCTACAAAGATGCAGTTAGTAATCTACTACCAACGCCTGCAAAATCACATTATGTGTTTAATTTAAGAGATTTTTCACGTGTCATTTATGGAATTCTTTTAATTGAACTCCCATCACTCTCAGATAAAAAGTTTTTGCAACGGTTGTGGGTGCATGAGGTTTATCGTGTGTTTTATGATCGCTTGGTTGATAATACTGATAGAATGTGGCTATTCAAGTATGTTTTGAAATACATAATTATAAAAAAATTATTTCATAAGTTTTATAGTTATTGAACATCGATAATAAATTGTCAATGACTAATATGGTTATATACTAACTATATATGGTTATATACTAACTATATATGGTTATATACTAACTATATATGGTCAATAACTAGAAATCAAGATATTATACTTCTTTTTGCTTAACCAAAATAAAAAAAATTAAACATAATATTAAGCTCTTTTTTTATTTTTTGGTTCAGTAAAATACAAAGTGTTACAAAAGAATACTTTAAAGAAGAACTTGATAAATTGTTTGCACATCTTTCAGTAGATAAAAAGGTTTTTCATGCTTTATTTCTTTTGCTATATGTTATATTTTTAATTTTTACATGTCTTTATCATTAATGTTGAACATTTCTTTAGCTAAAAGAAGATTCAATGAGAAGTTTAATGTTTGGTGACTTTTTGAATCCTAATGCAGTAACTATTTCTTTATTGTTATGAACCGTGTTATTAATTTTCGAATAAAATTTATTTATGTATTAATGTTAATACATAATGAAAAACTTGTTTAATAAAATTATAAGTATTATAAAAAGAGTAAATGTGTTTTGTGAAACGAAAATACACATTGTTGTTTTTTCTTTTTCAACTTGTTTCAATTTGTTTCTTCATGCATTGGCCTTGTTCATCAAGATTTGTGTTTAGGAGTTATAGAGTTAAGAGAGGGTTGTAATTATAGATAAAGTAGCTCAACTGGCCTTTGGGATATGAATTGAAATATAAAAAAGTTTAACTTTATTCTGATTTATTAGATTGCATATCAAACTCCTATTTTTAATTATGTTTAATAATTTTTAAAAATGACTTTAAGTTATTTTTATTTTTATATAATATTTTTTTGCTAGTTATGAGTTATGTGGAACTTTTTATGTTTATATTGTATTGGTTTCTAGGTTTCTTACATGTCAATCAGTTTAAACTTTAAAGTTACTTTGCTAAGCTTTTTTTTTAAATAACTTCAATTTATCATTTCATGGTGTAGTCTATCATTAATCTCTCTCTCTTTTTTCATTAGATGAACATAAAATATTTTAATGTAGTATCTATTAATATAAAAGTAATACAAAAATTTAAAAAATGTAGATTTTATCAAACAAGTATATTTAAGTTACACAAAACCACAGCCTTGTTAAACTCATCATCAGCTGAGTATACGCATCTATACCCAACTCATATTTTGGCCACTTTTGTGTGGCATTACGGTAAATGATGAGTTGTAGCAACTATGATGACTGAAAACTGTCTAGTAGTTGTTTAAATTTATCAAGTGATATTGCCTCGATGACATTATCTGGCAAAGCATTCCAGTCATTGACTACACGTTTGTTAAAAAACTTATGTCTGATTTTACAGTTCCTGACAATCTTGTGATAAAATCTGATTCGATGTTGAGCTCTGGCTGCTATGCTGCCAGGCATTACGTGCCAATCAATTAGGTTTAAATTGTTGAGAAGCTTATATCTTTGAATAAGATCGCCTCTTTTCCATCTGTCTTCAAGAGTAGTTAACTTCATGATTTTACATCGAGTTTTGTAGTCTTTATTTTTCAAAGCATGAGGAACTTTCGTTGCGTTGCGTTGTACCTTTTTAATTTTTTTTATGTCACTATCAAGATAAGGGTTCCAGGATTGTATGGCAAACTCCAGATGTGGTCTAATATATGCAGTATAAATTTTTTTATAAATGTCAATGTCTCTTGATACAAGCGTGTGTTTAAGAATTCCAAGCATATTATTTGCTTTGTTTGCAGCTATATTGCACTGTTGAGCATATTTAAGATTTTCGGAGATTAGAATTCCAAGATCTTTTTCAGAATTTGTGACTTCTAAAACTACTCTATTGGTTGTACCATCATTTTTGATTTCATCCATAATGTAATCAAATTTTGTTGTTCCAGAATTTACATGCATAACTTTACATTTTTTTACATTTAACTCCATTAGCCAGGTTTGCGTCCATTTAACAATCTCATCTAGATCAGATTGTAAACTTGCTTGGTCTTCATCATTTTCAACAACTTTCATGAGCTTTGTGTCATCTGCATACATTTTGCAAATAGCTGATTTGACATGAATTGGCAGGTCATTAACAAATATGACAAAGAGCATTGGTCCTAACACAGAACCTTGGGGAACCCCGTAAGTTACATCAATCCAGTCAGATTTTGTTTCTCCAAGTATAACACGCTGCTTGCGGCTTGTTAAGAAGGCTTTTATCCAGTTTAGAAGATTGCCATTTATACCATACATTTCAAGCTTTTGCAGCAATCTTACATGCGAAACTTTATCAAATGCCTTTGCAAAGTCAAGAAAAATTAGGTTGACTGGTTTTTTCTTTGATTTGCTAAAAGTCCATTGTTTATAAAAGATTTGTAGTGCAAGTCTTTTTTGAAACGAAATCATGTTGAGTTTTGGAAAGCAATTTGTTATTTACCAAATGATTGATTATTACTTGTCTAACTATTTTTTCCATAAGTTTGCATGGTACAGAAGTGAGCGATATGGGCCTGTAATTGGCTGGATCTGTTCTGCTACCATTTTTATAAATAGGTGTAACATGAGCTCTGAGCCAAGATAGTGGAACCTTTCCAGATTTTATTGAAAGTAGAAAAATCAAAGTTAGCGGAACTGCCATTGATGTGGAACATGCTTTTAAAACAAACGGACTAATGTTATCATCACCCATTGACTTATTTTCATCAAGCATATTTAGGTGTTTGAGAACAATGTTTTGGTCAATTGTTATATCCGAAGTTAAAACATTTGTAATGGATGCAAAAGGTTTTAATGGCTGGGTCAGTGGTTCCTTTGTAAAAACTGATTGAAATTTATTGTTGAGAATGTTTGCTTTTGTTATTCCATCACTGCTCATTTAGTTTAAATCTGAGATTAAGGCTGATATTTGATTGCTCACTATCCATTTACTATTAATATATGCAAATAGTCTTTTTGGATTGTGCTTGTCGTTAGCTAGCTCTGACTCATAGACACGTAATGCTCGTTTGCTATTTTTTTTGACCTCCTTTTTGACAGCTGTATACTCTGTAATGTGTGCTGCATTTTTCCACTTTGAGTTTGCATTTTTGTACCAGAGCTCTTTTTTTAGTCTAATTAGCTTCATTAACTTGTTTGTGATCCAGGGTTGCCTTTTTTGGCAGTATTTTTTGATGCCTTTGGAATAAACTTATGGCATGCTTCATTATAGAGGTTAGACCATATGGAATAACATTTTGCATTACTTGTTTATTTTTTTAAAAATTAAAATCAATAGAAGCAAGTTAGATTTGTTAACTGTTAGTGTGTTGGCATTTACAATGTATATCTTGCATGATTTTTATTACACATGTTTCAAATGTGCTTAGATTTATATGCTTACATAATAGAAATAATTAAACATGTTTTAAATGTGCTTAAATTTACAAGCTTACATAAAAGAAATAGTTAAACATGTTTTAATTGTGCTTAAATTTACATGCTTACATAATAGAAATAATTTAAAAATTAAAAACAAGGTTAAATGTTTAGACAAGTTTTATTGGTGTTGCATTGATGTTGGTGATTTGGATATCCATTATTTAGGCCAAATCTAGAGCCTTTAGTTATAACTTTATGTGAGTAACAAGGATGAAGCAATTGCCTATTTCCTACTTTAAATACTTTACTACTACACCACTACCTAAGTAGTAGTGGTATTGTCGCTTTAAAGCACTTGCTTCATAAGGGAGAAGTTCCAAGTTTGATCCCCACCAGGTTCCTGGTAGTACCGCTTTCAACTTATATCTCTGAGCAGCGGCCTTATTTGTCAAGGTTTGTGTTTTGGAGTTATAAAGTTGAGAGAGGGTTGTAACCACAACTAAAAGTAACCTCTTCGACTTTAGAGAGAGAGAGAGAGTTGTAATCATAATTATAGTAGTTTACTTTACTTAAGGCATGCTATCGGAAAAATCTGCCCACCTTTTGCGGTGTAGTAAAGCTAGTTAACGGTCGTTTTTTGAAATTACTTTTTTGTGTGTAGTAGTGTTTGTATAATAAAACATTTTGGCAGAAAAGAGTAATTAAAAATATTATTTAGTTTCAAAATTTCAACCGAGCAAACTAAACAAAGATTTTTGATTGTGGACAAACACTTAAAAAATCCAACTTTATCGAATAGAAAGTTGGCGAAATCATTAAAAATATCAAGAAGAACTGTAGATACTGTTCTTAAACGGTTTACAGAACATAAAACTATTCAGAGAAAACAAGGAAGTGGTCGAAAAAAATGCACAGCAAATCCTAGAGCTCTCGAACGGTTATAGACTTCATTGGAAGAACATTCTGATTAGTCTGATAGATTTCGAGCAAAAAAACTGAAGGTTTCCAATTTTTTTGTACACAAATGGCAACAGAAACTTGGATATCAAAGTTTTAAAGTAGTTAAAATGCCAAATTGCAACGATAAACAAAATTCAACCGCAAAGAGTCGAGCTCAAAAGTTGTATGATAACTTGTTAACAAAACATAATGGATGCACTTTGATGGATATATATACATATATATATATATATATATATATATACATATATGTATATATATACATATATATATATACATATATGTATATATATATGTATATATATGTATATATATGTATATATATGTATATATATATATATATATATATATATATATATATGTATATATATATATATATATATATATATATATATATATATATATATATATATATATGTATATATATATATATATATATATATATATATTGTCATTTTAACTAAGCTAGAAATATAAACATTATCACATCATCAATATAAACATTAGATGTGTCAAACATAACCAGCAAAAAAAATCAAATAAAAGTAAAAACAACTTAAAGTTATTTTTAAATCAAATTAAGTATAGAATTACAAAACACTTTATAAAAAAAAACTTATTTTATGTTATAAATATTAATTAATGCTATTTTCAAAAAAAAGCATTTTTTTTAATTATGTAAAATTAAAATTTTTTTAAATTTTCGAAGAAAAAAAAGTTAAATAAAGATTTAAACTACAACAAAAAAATAATATTTTTGAGGTTTGTCACTTCTGATAACTGCTTGATCCTTAGAGTGTATAACTGTGGTTAGTCAACAGATAAATGGCTGTACTAATATTGTTTTTTTGTGTTTAGGTTGGTAGTGATCGTTTGTACCAAGAAGTAAAGTCTGTCGATGATTTGTATCCAATTGTTCAAAATTATTTAGAAGAATACAATCTTATGCATAAGACACAAATGAATTTAGTTATATTTCGGTAAATTATTTTCATTTTATGTGCGTTTAATCTCTCGTGTGTTAGTCATATTTTTGTGTTTCTTAACTTACTTTAGGTATGTTCTTGAGCATTTGAGTCGAATAAGTCGCATTTTAAAACAATCTGGTGGAAATGCAATGTTGGTAGGAATGGGGGGAAGTGGAAGACAATCATTGTGCAAGTTAGCAGCAGCTATATCATCATTTAAAATTTTCCAAATTGAAGTAACAAAAAATTATGGAATTGTAGAATGGAGGGAGGATTTAAAGGTTTATATATATATATATATATATATATATATATATATATATATATATATATATATATATATATATATATATATATATATATATATATATATATATATATATATATATATATATGTATATATATATATATATATATATATATATATATATATATATATATATATATATATATATATATATATATATTTATATACAAATTTATCAGTAACATAACTCATTTAGAAAGAATAAAGCTAATATTGTTCACATCTTAAAAAAAAAAAAAAACATTTAGATGATCAGCATGATTATGACTGTTAGTTAAACATTTTTAATGAAATATCATCTTGGTTTTACTGTTTGTTTTCTGCAAGAGAAAATTTTTTTATTGTAATCTAATCTATGATTAAAATTATGATTTCTTAACTAAAACAGAATCTTCTAGTTATTTGAATCAAATTGTAAATGTAAGACATTGCTTTGCTAGCTACAAAGTATCTAACAGCTCTTTGATTAAGTATGTACCACCTATCTACCTAACTACCTGCCAATTATCTACCTAAGTACTTACCACCTGTCTATTTAATTACCTGTTTTCCTAACTGACTGAGTACTTACAACCTATTTAACTAATTACCTACCACCTATAATGTCCTTAATGTCTACTATCTTTTTATTATGTAACTATGTACTTACTACCTAAATTTATTATGTAACTACGTACTTACCACCTAAATTTATTATGTAACAATGTACTTACCACCTAAATTTATCTTATATTAAATAAAGTTTATGCGAGTAAAATTATCTTACAAAAAGTAATGTTTACTTGCATTATTTTAAAACCATTTTTTACAAATAAAGTAGACTTTAAAAAAGCCAATTAACTTATGTATCTTTTAATTACTTACCACCTGTCTATTTAATTACCTGTTTTCCTAACTGACTGAGTACTTACCACCTATTTAACTAATTACCTACCACCTATAATGTCCTTAATGTCTACTATCTTTTTATTATGTAACTATGTACTTACTACCTAAATTTATTATGTAACTACGTACTTACCACCTAAATTTATTATGTAACAATGTACTTACCACCTAAATTTATCTTATATTAAATAAAGTTTATGCGAGTAAAATTATCTTACAAAAAGTAATGTTTACTTGCATTATTTTAAAACCATTTTTTACAAATAAAGTAGACTTTAAAAAAGCCAATTAACTTATGTATCTTTTAAGTAATTTTACGTAAGTATATTTTAAGTATTTTAAGTTAATTAAATCTGGTTATTATTTTTTACA